TAGAAATTCCATGGACCATATATTCCATGGGGTCACGAAGAGTCACACAGGTGAGCTACTTTCACTTCACGTCACTTCATTGTGAATGTGCTAAGTTGTATATTACTAAGTTTGAAGTAACACCAAGTAATGCATTATCAATATTACTCCTTTGAATTAAGTTAAAAGTTACAGAATGCTTCTCAAACAGAACGCTTACGTAATCTTTATGTTCCCAACAAAGAGAGTTATTTCAAAGGCTTTTATTCACTTCTTTCCCCCCTGAATATTGTATGGTTAACCAGTAACTTACACATGAAAAAAATAACATGTTATATATAGGTAAAAGACTCAAGATAAATAACATCAAATATATTCTAGGTATACATTATGAATAAAATCAACACATCCTCCAGCTGGAGAAGATATTCAATTTACAAAAAATTTCATTCCAGTTGTTCTCATATGGCTATTTGAACAGCTTTTTCACCACAGAATGTACCTCAGAGCATTTCTCCTGTGATTTTGCCTCTAAAACCTAAGTGAATGAATGCATTTGGAGAATTATGTCTATAGTGTTGGGAGGGAAATTATTCTAGTTTCCTCTTTCTCACTGATTCTATTTTTCGTCACCACCTATCTAAAGCATTAGACTGATTTAAGTTAACTTGACCCTCAGCTAGCAGTAGACTGTGTCAAAAAGTAATTCGCTTCTTTTATTCCCTTTATTATCTCATCCCTTATCTTTACTCTTTTACCACACTCTCATCCATATTATAATCTCTATCTTAAAGAACATAATGCTATTAAAATAAAAGATGAACTTAATGCGTGAGAAACTGTGTAATATAGGAAACAGAATATTAGAAATTGCCTTAAAATCCTTAGCTTTTAAAACAACTATTTCACAGATGTGAGAACTTTGTGAATCTAAGTGCATAACTGCAGACAATCATTAAATAACAACCTAATCTTGTGTTTTCCTGTTTCAATAATATAAAATGCATAAAACCTCTTTTTTAAAAAGAATAGCTGTTGCTGAGATGGAACCTAATAAAATATAGGTAACCTCTAGAACCTATAGGCAAGAGAGTTTCTAAACATAGACTGTTTCAAAATGAATCAATGACAGCATTTAGTATATTAATTTTGGCTGTGGAAAAAGTTCAGGTCCTTGGAATGTAGGTAAAGAGGAGTGATTTTTAAAACACAGGCCTTTGGGGAAATAAAGAATCTGACACTTGAGAGTTTCATTGGTGATAATTCAGAAACTTTTAAGAGCTGAAGAAACAAGTAACTTATTAAATATTATATTTTAGGAAAAAAATGCTCCCAGAGTTAGTATCATAAAAATCACCAGATTTATTATAAATAAATAAAAAATCACCTGATTTATTATAATTGCTATATATTGAAATCACTACATGATGAAAATGCTTGTTTCATTTTATCTGGAAAGACAATTTCACATTTTTGAGACTGATAAGTTGTTTTCAACTAAAGAAAACCATGTGTAATGAAGATTCTTGCATGCATTTTTAAATGATCGTATTTTCATTCCAAATAAATACTATCTACCTGAAAAAAAAAAAAAAGAACTTCATTTCTAATCTCATAATTGAACACTAGCTGTAGGGAAAGAAATAATGAAGTATAAAAGTTAAGAGTCTCAGACATGAGGCTTTAAATTGCTTCTCAAAAGGTAAATACAAAACTACAAGTATTTCAGTAAAGCAGTTCATGTTAACATTTTAAGAGTTAATTAGTACAAAATTTCAACCTTAAGTACCAGTTAAAAAAAATAAAACTGGAGCTATAGGTAGCATGCTTGCAGTTTTTCTGAACATGTGTGCAAACAGTACAATGCTGTGCTAGATGAGACTTTAGTATAGTGTATGATTTAGTCTGCTGTAATAACAAAATATTATTAAACATATGTCATTATTTGCATCAAAATTCACTTGCACTATATTTGGTATTTAAAGGGAGAGGAAGACCGTTTGCAGGAGGAGGAGTTGAGTCCCAAGGTGGAGCTGTCTCTAGTGTTAAATGACACTGGCAGATTAAAGCGCTCTGATGGGGAAGGGCTTAAAGGCTGAGTCAAAAGCCAAGAAGTCTCTTTATTTACGCCTACCTCCCAGCCCTTGGCAATCTGACTAATAACAAACTGAGCTAACAAGAAAGACTAGAAAGGGAGGAAGGAGAACAGTGCTGCAGCTTGGATCTACAGCCTAAGAAAGCAAGAGTGATCAATCCCAGCTCTGTTAAACATCTTGTTTATTTACTGCATGCAGCAGCTTGCAAATGGTTAACTATATGCAAAAAAAGTCAGCATAGCTGTGAAGTATGCCATGAATTTTAATTGGGGAATAAAAGGACAACTGCTTCAGGATGATCTAGTATGCAGTCTGCCTGAAATGTTTTCAATGAAATGCGCAGCATTTTGTCTTGGACCAGAGGTTTTAACTTTATAAAGCAATGGAACTTGCCAAAAAGTGATATTTGAGAAGAAAGAACACGGTGGTTGGTGTTTTCTTTTTTAATAAAGAAGCTGAATTTACTTTGAACATCTCTTCCAGCTGTGCATTACAGATAACGTCAGGAAGTCTCTGCTTTACAGGTAAGATGAATGTTTCCAGGATTTCCTTACACCTATTTTTGCATTATTCTAAAGTGATTGAATTTATGTTTGCCTCTCTAAAAAAATAACTTTGCATTAAAGGATATCCAGTTTCTTTCCTGTTCACTGGCACAACTAATGCAGTAGCAGATGCCTGTTTTTCTGAGCAGCAGACATCCAGACTAACAGCTGGCTGTAGAGAAGAAGTAAAATCATCTGCCACTATTTCGTTTAGAGCACGCAGCTTGTTATTGGAAACTAACCTATGTCTGCTCTGTGAAGGAAAGATTGCTTTCAAATACCATTGTTGCATCTCGAATACAAGCAGAATATCAAAAGATTCTTTGTACACTGTATACCACTTTTACTTTTTCCCGACTTGAAAATATGTACAAGGAGATTTTTTTTTACCTCTTTAACACAGTATCTCTATACTATCAATATAGAACCACTTTTAATATTTATGTGTATTTCTGAAAACATTAGAAACTGTTCCCTACTACATTTTGAAGAGCATAAAATGCATCTGAGATAAAAATAACAAGAGTTTCTCATCTAGAAGTTATTCACTATTTTCTTAAGACGTGTTGTCTGGTGAAATAAAGAGTATTCTTTCTTGGTCATCTATGGGGAAATATGGAGATTAGCTGTGAATCTAATTCACAAGTTGAAGACTCCAACTCCAAGCTGCTTGATTCTAAGCATAGCCCTCAGGGCTGTTTAAAATCAAATTATTTCCCTTTGGAAACATTTAGTCAGCTAACTTTCCCTTTATATACAAAGGCACTACTTGATTGTTTCATGTCTTTGGTTGTCTTCTACCTTTCAGAAACTTCATACTATACATGTTTTCAATAAGACTGTGTATTTTCATGGAATGGAAGTTTACTTTTGAGATTATTGATTGGGTTTTGGAATGTATTACCTGATTGTGAATTTTAATTAGAATCAAAATTACTGTTTACATCCTATCCAGACAAATGAAAGCACCTATCATTTCCAAAATTTGAATAGTTACAAGATGTGGTGTTTGTTTACCTTTGAATTTAGTCTAAATTTAAAATGCACTATTTGAAGGAGGGTAATAAAATTACATACATTAGAGTTCAAAGTATTTACCACATGACTGCTGTTATTTTAGAGTTAGAATTTCTTAAATTGCTGTTTCAGATCCATGTATTAAATTTTTAAGGAGTTGGAATATGTGATGTGTTATCCTGAACTGTCACTTTTTATTTACCAAATTGGTGAGATCTTCAAATATTTTTATAGACTGAAGTTTGTTTCAGAGTTCATTGTTTGCATCATTAAGCCTTACAATAAAGAAGATCAACTGCTTAATTATGAGATATTCAGTGCCCTAAAGTCTGGTTCAAGACCTCATTAGGAAATCATTTGTTAGAAGTTTATATGAGGTATTGTTCCTTCTTTTGTAAGAGCCAGAAATGTGTGTCACAGGTCAGTTTTTCTTCTTTACTTTTTATGATGTTAACCTTATCCACAGAATAATTTAAAAGTAATGGTGAATATTTCACCTCTAGAAATTAAAGTGTGAAATTTGAATGGACACCTTTAAGCGTATATATCTGATACTTAGGCTTATACAAACTACCCTAGAGAGCATAGTTAAAATTCTTTTAAAAAGGTTTACTTTACTACATAGACATATTTTCTCAAGTTTTTTAATAAATAATAGAATTAATAGCTTAAACCAAAATCAAATCAGGTTAAACACAGAGTTATTTGATGTTATATGGTGATATCCAGTTCATAAATAGAACTAAAGGAAATGCATACATACAGTCTTTCTATCATTTCTGAATTTCCTACAGGTCTCTCTGCTTCTGGCTATCTCTAGAGGGGTGGGAGGTGGGAGGGAGGTTGAAGAGAGAGGGAACTGATTCATGATGATGTATGGCAGAAACCAATGCAATATACTGTAAAGCAACTGTCTTCCAATTAAAAATAAATATAAAAAAAGATTCATCTAGTTTAAGCTAAAAAAATTAAAAAGTTAAGGTCTTCTCAAATATACACCTTTGTATCATATCAAGTTATCAATGGTCCATTTAGCCAACACCCCTCATATCTGTTAAAATGCATTAGTTGATGATATGAACACAAATTGAAATACTTGAAGTTATCCTTGACCTAAATTTTAAATTGTTATCATAATGCAAGTTAAAAGTAAAACAAATCTCCCAGTCATAATATTTGTAAAAAATAAAAGAAAATGTGGACTCAGCAATGCCCTTATATATTTAAAATAATCAATATTTTGCCTATTAGGGGAAAACCTATCATTTTGAAAATGTCAGATCCATCTCCTCCCTGCTGCTGGCCACTAAAGCCCATTGCTATTGCATTTTATTTTACAGAATCAGATCCATCACATGACAACATGAAGCTCTGGATTCATCTCTTGTATTCATCTCTCCTTGCCTGTATATCTTCACAGTCCCAATCTCCAATGTCCTCTGCCTCAGCCAGAGGTTCTTGTGACTCTCTTTGCAATTGTGAGGAAAAAGACGGCACGATGTTAATAAATTGTGAAGAGAAAGGTATTAAGAAGTTATCCCAAATAAGTGTGCCACCATCACGACCTTTCCACCTAAGTTTATTAAATAATGGCTTGACAGTACTTCACACAGATGACTTTTCTGGGCTTACCAATGCTATCTCAATACACCTTGGATTTAACAACATTGCAGATATTGAGGCTGGTGCATTTAATGGCCTTGGCCTTCTTAAGCAACTTCATATCAATCACAATTCTCTAGAAATTCTTAAAGAGGATACCTTCCATGGATTGGAAAACCTGGAATTCCTACAAGCAGATAACAATTTCATTACAGTGATTGAACCAAGTGCCTTTAGCAAGCTCAACAGACTTAAAGTGTTAATTTTAAATGACAATGCTATTGAGAGTCTTCCTCCAAACATATTTCGATTTGTTCCTCTAACGCATCTAGATCTTCGTGGAAATCAGTTGCAAACATTGCCTTATGTTGGTTTTTTAGAACATATTGGCCGAATATTGGATCTCCAGTTGGAGGACAATAAATGGGCCTGCAATTGTGACTTATTACAGCTAAAACTTTGGTTGGAAAACATGCCTCCACAGTCGGTAATTGGTGATGTTGTATGCAACAGCCCTCCATTTTTCAAAGGAAGCATACTAAGCCGGCTGAAAAAGGAGTCGATTTGCCCCACTCCACCAGTATACGAAGAACACGAGGATCCTTCTGGATCATTACATCTGGCAGTAACCTCTTCAATAAGTGATAGTCGCATGTCAGCCAAGACCACGTCTCTTTTAAAACCACCCACCAAAGCACCAGGTTTAATACCTTATATTACAAAGCCATCCACTCAACTTCCGGGACTCTACTGTCCTATTCCTTGTAATTGCAAAGTACTCTCCCCATCAGGACTTCTAATACACTGTCAAGAGCGCAATATTGAAAGTTTATCAGATCTAAAACCTCCTCCACAAAATCCTAGAAAGCTTATTCTCGCAGGGAATATCATTCATACATTACTGAAGTCTGATTTAGTGGAATACTTCACTTTGGAAATGCTTCACTTGGGAAACAATCGTATTGAGGTTCTTGAAGAAGGATCATTTATGAATTTAACAAGATTACAAAAGCTTTATCTGAATGGTAACCACCTGACCAAATTGAGTGGAGGTATGTTTCTTGGTCTCCACAATCTTGAGTACTTATATCTTGAATACAATGGTGTTAAGGAAATATTACCTGGAACTTTCAACCCAATGCCTAAACTGAAAGTGCTCTATTTAAACAACAACCTCCTACAAGTTTTACCACCACATATTTTTTCAGGGGTTCCTCTTACGAGGATAAACCTTAAAACAAACCAATTTACTCATCTACCTGTAAGTAATATCTTGGATGACCTTGATTTACTGACCCAGATTGACCTTGAGGACAACCCCTGGGACTGTTCCTGTGACCTGGTTGGATTGCAGCAATGGATACAAAAGTTAAGCAAGAACACAGTGACAGATGAAATACTCTGCACCTCTCCAGAGCACTTACACAAAAAGGAATTGAAAGCACTCAATAGTGAACTTCTTTGCCCAGGTTTGGTCAATAACCCATCCCTGCCAACTCAGACTAGTTACATCATTGTCAATACGCCTACAACCGAAACTACAGCTGATACTATTTTTAAATCACTTACTGACGCAGTACCACTATCTGTTTTAATACTAGGTCTGCTGATTGTATTCATAACTATTGTGTTCTGTGCTGCAGGGATAGTGGTTCTTGTCCTCCACCGCAGGAGAAGATACAAAAAGAAACAAGCAGATGAGCAGATGAGAGACACCAGCCCTGTGCATCTCCAGTATAGCATGTACGGCCATAAGACAACTCACCACACCACTGAAAGACCCACAGCATCACTCTATGAGCAGCACATGGTGAGCCCCATGGTTCACGTCTATAGGAGCCCATCCTTTGGCCCAAAGCATCTGGAAGAAGAAGAAGAAAGGAATGAGAAAGAGGGAAGTGATGCAAAGCATCTCCAAAGAAGTCTTTTAGAACGAGAAAATCAGTCCCCACTCACAGGTTCAAATATGAAGTACAAAACCACAGACCAATCCACTGAATTTTTAACCTTCCAGGATGCCAGTTCATTATACAGGAACATATTAGAGAAAGAAAGGGAACTTCAGCAACTGGGAATCACAGAATACCTAAGGAAAAACATTGCTCAACTTCAGCCTGATATGGAGGTACATTATCCAGGAGCCCAAGAAGAGTTAAAGTTGATGGAGACATTAATGTACTCAAGATCAAGGAAGGTATTAGTGGAACAGACTAAAAATGAGTATTTTGAGCTGAAAGCTAATTTACATGCTGAACCTGATTACTTAGAAGTCCTGGAGCAGCAAACATAGAGAGTTCGAGGGCTTCTGCAGAAATGCTGTGATTCTGTCTTAAGTCCAGACCTTGTATATAAGTGCCTTATATGAATATGTCATCAATCAGAACTTAAGCACAGCAGCAATCCTATGGGAAAAGAAAAAGAAACTCAGGGATCACTGGGAGAAGCCATTGCATTGTCTTCAGGCAATTTTGTCTATCCCCAATAAAATAAATCCTTGCATGCAAATCATTCAAGGATTACAGTAATATTTTCCCATATAAGTAAAGTGTTTCATAGATGTCCTCTTGCACATCTAAAAGGGTTCAATATTTAACCCTTAATTTCTTGAGTTATATTACCCATGGATTAAATAGAATTGGATTTTTGTCATTTAAAAACTATAACAGTAAATGTAGTTATAATATGTAAAAAATGTTTGTTTATAAAACCATTAAATGTACTTACAAAAGTGTAAATTGTTAGATACACCAACTTTTCTTGCAATAAAGGCAAAAGGAACCGGAACTTTAAAATTAACAAATAGTAATATAAAAGAAAAAATGGAAAGTTGAATTACATAGAGTATGAGTGGCTCAAAACTTTGAAACTTTGAGAATTAAAAAATGCCACTGATTGCTTTCTGAATTTAAAAATAAGAATGATTAACAGTTCAGGTGGAATGAGGAAGAAAACATTTTGGTTTTTCTGCACATTTTGTGTGGACAATCTTCTTGTTAATGCTGCTGTGAACTAAGGTATGTCATTTGCGCTCAAAGTTTAATTCTTACTCTTGGGATATTTTGAAAATGCTACTGATATTCAACTGTAAATATGATTAGTGCATCTATTAAGTTTGGATTCTTTCATAGCATTAATCCTTTGTAAATTTGAATATCAAGATAGAAATATGTTTCTTGTGGCAAGTAATAATTCACTGGTGTAAAAAAATAGTAAAATTATTTTATTTTTATTGATGTACACTGATAGATGCCATAAATTAGTAGCAAAAGGCACTGTCTAAGGGTAAGTGGTTTAAGTTGCCTCAAGAGTGGGACAATGTAGCTTTATTTTACAAGAAAGTATAGCTAGATTTTTATGAACTATTTATTCTGTACAGTTTTGTATATTTTTGGTTCACAAAGGTAATTATTCTTGGGTGCCTTTCAAGAAAATTAAAAGTACTGCTCACTACAATAAAACTAAAATGAAAACCCTTTTTTAATATGTGCTTTCTTCAATTAGTCTGATTTGTAATTCAGTCCAGTCAGGATTAACACATGCACATTCATGCAGGCACTCAGGCACAAACACACAAAACAAGATTTCTATTTGTTGTCACCCACACAGAGCATTTTCTTTACCGTGTGTGAAAAGGCCTTTCAGTGTCACAATGTGATTGTCATGGAGCCCAACTAAATGGCCCATAATTTTCCCTTTCTGGCAAATCATTTTCCTACTTAATACAAGTAGAAATGATTTAATTTTCTTCTTTCTGGTTACAGAATCAATTATACAGAAAATTTTCACAAGGCAAACTGTAATTAATCAAGGTATTTTAGTTCTGTGGTGTTCACCATTCAGATGCATGCACAGGGTGAGGAAGGAATATATTTTCTATTAGAAAGGAATTTAATTTACTTTATACTATTTTAGTGATTCATAAATATTCTATTAAATGAGTTGGTTTTCAACACTCAACTGTCTGCATGACTAGCTAAATATACTTTCTTTCTTTGACTATGAATGAGAAGACTCCCCTTTTAATAAAAACAGTAGGAGCCTGTGTGGCATGGTATGAAGAACAGTTATGGGTCTATTATGACATCATATCACTAGGTTTCTAAAAAATCATTGCATATACTAATATAAAGCAATAACAAATTATGTATTAATAATTAAAGGATTCATTGAAAATCTACATTTCTTCATTAACCTTTAAGGTTGGAAATCAAAAAAATGAGAAATCTTTTTTATTTATTTATTTTTTTTGGGGGGGAATCTTTTCTAAATTAACACTTACTAAAGGGAAATCTAGGTTCGTGCATAATACTTTATATGTTTATCCACTAAAAGTACTCAGCACAGTAATGAACAGTAAACCCTCCAAGGCATTAATTTAAATGTTACATTCTAAAAAAAAAGAACAAAGCAAGAGCAGCATTCATGTTACTGCACTTCTGCTCAGAAGAGTATCTGCAAGTATTTCCTGATTCCAATCAGGTGCACAGAAGTATCAGACTTCACTTGCCTGCAGGATCTTTGGAATGGATCCATGAATGCAGACAGAGACATGTCCTGAGGAACATTCTTCTGAGTGAGGTAAATATATTTTTTTAAATCTTTATTGTTAATTGCCAAAAGTAATAATATTCACTCAACTTAAAAATCAAAGACAGAACGAAACTGTCTATGGTGTTATGTAAATATATCTTTCAAATTAGGTACAACCCCTAATTATATAACATCAACTTTGTACGCTGTTACAACTTATCTGTCAACCAAATAAAACCCTATGGAGTCTGGATATTATTTACAATGATGCAGAAATAATTACAGTTTCCAAAGAGTATCAGATTTTTAAAGCTTAGCTGTTTCATTCATGATAGAACCTTTATGTAATTTGTTTCCCTACTACAAGTAGTTGAGAGGTGGAAACTCCAGTGATGATCTTTAATTCTTAACAGGTCTTGTGATTCATGATAATCACTCAGAACTTTGGTTATTTTACCTGGATTTCCTATTCTTCTCCCTGCCCCCTCACCTACAGAATAATTTTTATTATATTGCCTGGGTTATTACCTACAAGGCTAAATTGGCCTCTTTCTGCAATTAATTGTTAGATTCAAAATCCCAAATCATAATTCAGTATGATCAGACATTTACAAATACCTGGGCTTTCTTAAAATAGACTTTTCATCACTCGATGAAATTTTTTAAAATTTAAACAAACATTACTCTCTGTTCACAATACATGAGGGCAACTTTTCACTCATGTCTGAATCTTGGATGTTTCTAGTATCATGGTAGTAATATATAATCATACTGGATCAAATCTTTTCGATTCTGTCAATCTGTTATACACAAATTGTATGAATCTGTATTTAATGAATTTTTTCACTCAATTACCATTAAAATATTTACTGGGAATAGAAGAGTGTTCTTCAAATATCTTCCATTGATCTCCATACTAGGATGATAATCTTCATAACTTATGTAAAAAAGGAATATATCAATAACTCTGATTCTCCCTCTTGAATCAATCTTAAACCACAGAGGAACATTTTTCCTTCCTAATCAAATAATAACTAAATGGAAGGATCATCTTAGTGGCCTTTAAGCTGCCTGATCCAATTACTTTAAAAAGCTTAAGTTTTAAACCAGGATTGAAAAAAGTGATATGGCTATCCCCTGGTCATTAAAATGCATATTTTAATATACTGGTGTATATATTTATGTATATGTAAATAATTATACACTTATATATGCGTGCTATGAATGTTTAAGTCGTTTCAGTCATGTGCAACTCTTTGCGACCCTATGGACTGTAGTCCACCAAGCTCCTCTGTCCATGGCATTTCCCAGGCAACAACATTGGAGTGGGTTGCCAGGCATAGAACCTGTGTCTCCTGAACGGCAGGCAGATTCTTTATCACTGAGCCACAGGGGAAGCATGTTTTATAAATGACTACATACATATATTTTTGGAGAACTAATAAAGATAAATAGGTAGATGATGGATGGATAGTCTCAACATGCATGTAATTTATTCATAATATTATTCTATGATACCCAGTAGATGTATAATTGAAGGTATTTGTAAAAGAATAATAGTAAATACATTGCAAAGTTGTTGGACAATAAACTGTTTTCTTTTAACATAAGCAAACACATATCAAAGGGAAGATCACACTATTTCTCATTTAGAAGACTTTCCACATAATTATTTTTGGCAGAAGCTGTTCTCTACATAAAAAGAGTTATGCATGTGCAGAAAATGCTGACCATTTAGAAACAGAAGTTTGGATCTCCTGGTAATAGGGAAATGGTTTTTAAATTAATTTAAGGATTCTTCTCTATTTCTGTTCCCTGAACACTTTTATGATTCAAATATAAGCAGCCACAATTTTCTTCTTGAGAAGGTGGGATATCATAAATGGACGCTATTTTATAATATGAAAGGAGACAATTACAAGAAGTGAAAGTGTTAGTCAGCCTATCGTGTCCAACTCTTTGCAACCATGGACTGTAGCCCACCAGGCTTCTCTGTTCATGCCCTTCTCCAGGGGATCTTCTTGACCCAGAGATCGAACCCAGGTCTCCCGCATTGCAGGGAGATTGTTTACTGTTTGAGCTACCCCGGAAGCCCAATTACAAGAAGTGACCCTATATCCGGCAGCCAAGTCAAGAATGATCTCTTTGATGAAGAGAAGACAAGTGATTAAAAATATAGTTATCTCTTTGTGCCTTTTCAATTCCATACAAACTGAAATACAGATAGTTGTCCAAATATTCTCTGAGATTTATAACGACAATAAATATAGAACTGTTATTATCAACTTATAAAATATAACTCTATCATTAAAATTACATTCTTTAACAAATTTCTGTCTTATATGGAAATAAATCCCATTATTTCTTTTATAGAACACACCTATCTTTTTTAAAATTGAACTTATTTATTGCACACACATCTATTCTTATGTATATGGAAAAGAGGAGATGGTCAGATATAGCTGCACTGAGAGTATAGACAGACAAATACTGCCCTGTTAGTGAATGTTCTTCAGGAGATTAGTGAATAAAAATGGAAACAATTCAAAACAAACTGCACACACATACACACATGATGCATTTCCAAGTAAAATGATTTAAAATCACAAACTTGAAGTAGAGAACTTTTATATCAGAAATTTGAAACAGGGAAAGCAGAAAACCTGCCATTCCACAAGTAAGTATTGCCTCTTACATCATTAAGGCACTACCAGTAAGAAAATTACCAGTAAATGAGTATGGTATATTGAGTTAATTTTT